GAGTGGACCACATGCAGGAGAAAAGCACATGGGAATGGCAGCTGTCCTCGGGGCCTCACCTCCCAGCACTACACCATACACAGCCATCCAGGAACAGCGCAGAACAAAGCGCTAAGTAAGCAAGAGCCGTGAGCTGAGTGCTCTGGGCTTTGCAGCTCCCTCTGCTGCCTTGGTTGAGAAACAAGGAATTGATTTCAAAGGCAATTGTCCTAAGTGCGCGCATGTGTGTGTGTGTGTGTGTGTGTGTGTGTGTGTGCACGCGCGCCGGATGAATTTGTGTGGACTGGATTTCCCTGCATTCATGAGTCTCTGCTTGTCTCTCCACTGAAATTGCATTTTAATCCTACATGACATTTTGCTGGTTTCCCCAGCAACCATCTCAAAAGCCATAAACGGCAGATCGAGGCTTTGAGGGATGAAGCAGGAGACTGGACAATCCAGGCTGAGATTAAAAACCCAGAAGTTCAAAGGCTGGTCCACAGCAACATCCTCTGTGAGTAAGAGTGGGGAGGATCACTTGCTGCATTTGGGTGGTTTCCACGTGGAAATGGCAATTTACTCTTTCTTTCATCCTTTTTTTTTGTGTGGTGCTAGGGATTGAACCCAGGGCCTTGTCCATACTAGACAAATGCTTTACCATTGAGTCACGTCCCACACCCCTCTTTTCTTTTCTTTAGTAGAGATGTACTGTTTTGTTTGCTTTTGGTTTTTTGAGACAGGACCTCGCTGGCCTTGATCTCACTACGTAGCCCAGGCTAGCCTTGAACTTGTGATCCTCTTGCCTCAGCATAGATGTACCGTTTACTAATTCAAAGAATATTACATTCACTCATCCGCCAAACGCACTTCATCCATAAATACATTCCCTTATGTAGAATGAAGGGTAACACTCCATGTTCCTCAGGCTGCAGCAATTTCTTTCTCCAGGATGATGGGGACCATGGACACTTAGGGTATGGGAAGAGGCCCCTTAACTGTACCAAGATAACTGCTCCTGAGGCTCTGGCCTCATTAATGTAGGAAAGCACTTTTTCTAGAGGGAGCAGCAAATTGACAGCACTGATACAAAATATGGCCAATTCAATGGTTATCACCATCACCTTAGGAATTATGAGACATTTAGGTAAATAAAACTATAACCATAAATAGGAGAAAAGGGTTACTAATGTTTTCTTTCAGTACAGTGCCACATTCTTAAAGTTCCTTGTTATTCTGGGTAGTAAGGATTTCTGAAAAGGTCCTGGGGTAGTTCAAATTTTTTCAAATCTCTTAATGTTGAAAATTAGTTATATTATTTTAGCCTAATTAATGAAATTTCCAAAGTATTACAAAAACTAAAATTTATTTGTCTAGGAATTATACATTTTAAACAGATAATTTTCAAAATATATGCCTCAGACAGTTCAAATGTAAAAATCCATTTAGCATCTTGCATGTGTGGTGCTAGCGATGGAATCCAGGGCTTTGTGCAAGCAAGGCAAGCCCTCAACTAGCTCAGCTACATCCCCAGCTCTTTTTATTTTTAGAGATAAGGTCTCACTAAGTTGTCGAGGCTGGCCTCAAACTTGTGATCCTCCTGCCTTCCTTTCCTACTTTTAAATATCCTAGCACATAGAATCCTTATGGTACCTCTGAAACAGGTGGTTTGCTGGTAATTTTGCAAACAGTTTTCACTGACTTACAAAACTGTCTTCCAATGAACATCATCTTTATAGGAAAGAGAACAAGGAAAATCCCCACACTTTATTTACATGCCACCAGATTTCCCTCAACCTTCATCAGTACTCAGGCACACATTTCTAGTTGTAAGAGTCTGCATGTTTATTTCCATTCTGTTTACCTATGCGGCTCCACATGCTGGGAACTCCTGAACATTTTGTGTGTCTGGCACCTTGGTAGTGAGACACAATAAACTTGGCCATGCTCTGTCCTTTGGAATCGTGCACATGTTCAGATTGTCTATGTCATGCACAAGACCTGGGAACAATCCCTGTGTCTCAGGCTCAGCCTTCCTGGTGAAAGGCCCACGGACACTAGGAGGTCCCCGAGCTGCCTCCCCCTGGACCAGGAGGGTCGCTGTTCTAGTAACAGAAGCCTCCAATGCTCAGGGCATGAAGTGACTCATCAGCAACGGAACTACCCCAGGACCTTCTTTGAACCTCCCCTGTCAGCAGCAGCTATCTACCCTTCCTCCAGAACATATCCCAAACCTATCCTCTCCTCTCCAACTCCCACAGACACATGTGTTCGTGTCACCCCCCACCTCGGCCCCCTCGATTGCTTCTCAGCCAGCCACAGTGCTCTGCTAAACCTCAGGCCAGAGCTGCCGCCTTTCTCTGCCCCCTCCTATGGCTTCCCACAGTCCTGGGAACAAAATCTCAATTCCTCGCTCTGGCCTGCAAAACCTCCCAGCATCTGACCCCTGCCATCCTGTGCACTCTTCTCTCAGCCCTCTGCTCCAGTTGACACACAGCCTTTCGGCCTTTGCACCCCGCACCTGACTATCCCCCTGGCCCAGCTCACTGTCTTCTCCTCGCAGATGCTGTTTATCCCTAACCCTCTTTCTGAAGGTGCCCCAGGCCCCCCATAATGATTGATGACTGCATGGTATTAGTTCCTTCACAGAAATTCCTGCAGATGAACTTTCTTCCATGTTACCATCTCTGACTGGGGATCACTGGTCCCTGGATCCCCCCAACATGAGGCCCACAGGGCAGGGAAGGGCATCGTGGACTCTGACCTGCCTTTCCAAGTGCCTGACCTTCAGCGGACGTTCCACAGAGCTCAATGAATGAACAGCTGGAGGTGACATGCACATCGCCAATGCCCAGCTCCCTGGACATCTGGCCCTGGCTCTGGGGATGGCCTGGGAATGGGAAGGGCACTGGCCCAAGTCCTTTGGTCCAGGTGCCAGAGGCCATTGTAGCAGAGATGTCCTCAGCTGAGTGGTAGGGTCAGGGAGGAAGGAGGAGGTGGGGTCGAAGACAGAAGGATCACCAAACTTCTCAGAGGAGGACCTTGTCAGAGACTCCGGGGACCCCAGTATGTCAGTGTGCTCCCTCCCCAGCAGGTATCACACAGCATGTTGAGTCTCCAACTTACCCAGCATGCACAAGCTCTCATCTCTAGTCCTCAGAAACTATCCTGAGGTGAGCACAGTATGTCATTTTCACTTTACAGAACAAGAATGAGTCTTGCAGAGGTTTTAAACTGTTCTACCTTGTGATTAGTAAGCTTTGGAGATAGGATTTGAACCTAAGACCATGGGATTGTTGAGCACTTTCCAAAAAGAGCTTCTGGATTCATCCCAAAGTGGCCCCATAGCACCCTAAGTAGTTCTTTGGAACAGGACCTCAGGCTCAGGGCAGTCTCCCTGTGATTCTCCCCATCTTTCCCAGATCCTCCATGTAGCCAGGCTTGTTCCCCACCACAGGGGGCTACCGCTGCTGAGGATCGCATTTCCTGTCTTTGGTGAACATGAAGAATTAAAGAATTGCACTTCTCATTGGTAGTGTTAATTAAGGCCTCCTTGGCGTTCCCTATGACAACACAGCAAACCCTGGCTACTCTACACACCTCACAGGCACTCAGTCCACAACCAATCACCCCCTGGACATAATCTGGAAAGAGGAAGGGAGCGTGGGGGTACTCCTGGTCTATCACTTACATGCTATGGACTTTGGGCAACTCACCTCTGCTTCTAGAGCCTCAGTTTCCCTGTTTGCACAAAAAGGGGGGTAAGATTCCCTTGAGATCTACTCTCTCTTCTATAAATACTCTTTGAGAGAGAGAGTTCTGGCACCTGGGAGACAACAAAACACCAGATCGTCTACCAGAGAGAGGCACCTGAGTCTGGGTGGTCGGAGTTTTGACACTTGCCAGCTGCCATTGCTCAGTTCTTCCTGGTCTGTGATTGTCTAAATCCCATCCTGTCTCCAAGCCCTTCAGTGGAAGTCACACCCTACTTTCCAGACACATACACAGGTTTTGAGAATTCACATTTGTGTACAAGCAAGGGGTGAACAAAAAACACAGGGAATGTTTAAATGCTCAAGAATTATTACAGTAAAAGACACAGCGCCATTAATTCTCCTCCAAACAGCCCTGTCTCGCTTCCAACACATCCCCTCCCTCTTGGCACTCTCTCTGAAGCAGTTCTGGAAGTCCTCTTTCATGTCTTTAAGAGGCGTGATCAAAAATACAGTGAATGAGGGTTGGGGATCTAGCTCAGTGGTGCTGTGCCTGCCTTGCAAGCACAAGGTCCTGAGTCCGATCCCAGGTGATGCAAAAAATAATAATAATTAAAAAAAAAATTTACAGTGAATGCTGCTTCTGAGTGTCATCTAACCAAAAGGCAGGTTCGTAAAAAAATATTATGGCGCCCAGGATTTAGCTCAGTGGTTCTGCCGCTTGCCCCGTAAGCACAATGACCCAAGTTCAATCCCCAGTACCCCCCAAAAAAACAAACAAACAAAAAACATTATGGCGTATCCTTATCCGCGTTATTCTCAGAATCTAGCACCGTGTAACTTCTGGCTCTTCCTCAAAGTCAAAATGACCACGAAAAGTAAATGTTTTGAATGGAGTTAGACACTGAAGCAGCCAGGGCAGAGCAACTAGAGATATAAGAAAAGACTTCCAGAACTGCTTCACAAAGTGGCAAGAACGATGGGATAAGTGTTTCAAGGGAGAGGGAGGATTCTGAGGGAGATTAATGGCAATGTGTCTTTTGCTGTAATAATTTTCTAAAATCTGAGCACACACCTCATTTTCCCATCACACCTCCTATCTGTGGGCTCGGTCCCTGCCTCCGCTTCCGTCCTCTGAGGAGCTGTGGCTGGTGCACCCGTCGCCAACGGTACCGGAATCTGAGTTCCCAAAAGCCCGGCCGGAGGGAGCGGGACACCGCGGGGAGGCGCCGCCGCTCCAGCTGGCCGCGGGGCTCGGGATCACCTGCGCGGGCGGGGCGGGGCGGGTCCCCGGAGGGCAGCGTGGGCGGCGGCGGACGCCGAGCAGGAGTGCGGCGGCGGCCGGCGAGAGGCCGAGCGTGGTTGCCCAGCAGGTAGGAGGCGGGGGCTCTGACCGGAGCTGGGTGGGCGCCAGGGGTCCCTCTGCGGGAGGAATCGCGAGACGTCTGTGCGCGAAGGCGGCAGTCGCGGGCGGTGAGAGGGAGGCTGATCTTCCCCATCAACGTGGCCTTGGACCATGAAGGGTGCAGACCTTGCCTGCCCAGCGCGGAGTCAGCCCGCATTGGGAGGGAGAGCAATATTTGGGGCATCCAGAAGCCACACACACACACACACACACACACACACACACACACACACACACACTCTGCAATCAACAGACCTAAACTCCCCAAAGAAAAGCCTAGAAGTAGGCGGGTCTTTGACCCACTTAGAACACTTTGTCTCATCTGTGAAATGGGCGCCTTGATGGGTTGCCCTTTGCGGAGGCCGCCCGTGAGGATCCGAGGTTCAGTATGGTGCAAATCCCCTTCGCGGGGGTGGGGGAGCCCAGGGTTCCAGTTCAGACCAGCAAATTCAAGTCAAGGGAACAGCTCTGGGGTGCGCACTGAATGAGGGAGGAAAGATGCAGGGAGAGCTCCAGCCCTGGGGTAGCCGAGGGAGGAGGAGGCTGTGTCAGACACCACGCTGAATCAGAGGAATCGAGGAAGTGGGGAAGTCTGGGCGGAAGATTACTGGAGGGCTTCTCGGAGGCGCTGGGATTTGAGTGGGGCTGGGAAAGCAGCGCTGTGGTCTGGGCTGTCTCAGCCTTGGGCAAAGCCCCTTCCTTTTTTTCATCTTGTCATATGCTCCTGAAATGAAGCAGTTTCTCAATAGATTGTCAGATAGGGTCTGTGTTTAGTAGGCAATCAATAAATGCAAGCTCTTAATGTCTTCCAGCCTGTGCCTAAGGTCCACGTCATTTGGATCTCCGTGGTGTCCCCAGCACCCACATGGTGCCTGGTTCCTGGAGAGGTGACCTCAGGGAGGTGGCATCGGGTGGAGCTGGGCCACTCCTGAGGTGTGAGGCGCGCTTGGCTTGAGGAGCAGGCTGAGTCTGTGTGGGAAACTGGTGTCTTGGTTTCATCACCAACATCCAATTCCCTTTGACCAGTCACATGTGGACTGTGGTCACTCCTGCCTCAGCCCTGGAGGAAGCTGTGTTTTAGTTAGTTAGTTGTTTATTTATTTATTTATTTATTTATTTATTTATTTATTTTAAGCTGTGTTCTTGAGGCAAAGCTAGGCACCTTTGGTTTTCTGATGATGTTCGGGCAGCCATGCTGGGGTTCCTGACCTCTGGGGTGAGCAGGAATATGTGAGAAACAAAGGTCTGAGGCAGAGGTGGGAGAAACATCCACCTAAGACAGAGATACTGTATTCCCAGAAAAGCCAAGTTCAAGGCTTTGTGTAGTACTTTCTGTAACTGCTCGTGCTTATTTATTTGTTTAATATCTGTGCCTTGCTGGGGATTCTGTGGGCACAAACCTGCCTTGCCCCCTGGCTGTACCCCACCAGGCCAAGCAGCTGGCACACAGTAGGCACTCAGTGAGCTTTGTGGAATGTAGACAGCCAGGCTGAGTGCTGGGGCTCTTGGCTTTTTTTTTTTTTTTTTGGTACCAGGGATCGAACCGGGGTCCTTGTGCTTGCAAGGCAGGCAGCAGAACCACTGAGCTAAATCCCCGGCAAGGGGCTCTTGGCTTTGAGAGAGGAGAGCCTGACAAACTGACCTTGAGCTGCATTTTTACTGTCTCATCCCCGCCCACCTCCAACCTGAGGGGCATGTCCCCTCTTACCCATCACACCATAGTCTTTTCTCAGACACATTACACCTGGGGAGAGTCCTGGAGACTCTTTTGCTGCTCCTGGGTCGCCCCATAGAAGAGAGCAACATACATGATGACCCCACCCCACTGCACCAGGGCATAGTCATGGAGTATTAGAACTAGTGGAGCCCCAAAATGTAATAGAGGGCACCCCTCATCTCAGAAGGGAAGAAACCAGGATCCAGAGAAGGTGAGACAGGTTCAAGATCCAGTAGAGCTCAGGAGACCCAGGTATCCTAATTCCATATTCTTTTGTCACTAGGTGGACTGGGAATTGTACATGCAGCAATGCTTCTTTATTTCCTAGTCACGCAATAAAGTGGAATGAAAAGCCAAAGGGAGAGATAAAAAGGTAAAGTGGATTTCAAGTTGTCCAATAAGATCTTATTTTTTAAAAACCTCACCTATTATGAAAAGAAAAAGAACCACAATTATGTACTTTAATATTAAACTATTTTTAATATTAAGGAGGAGCCTGTCTACGTGAGGCTGCACTATTGCCAGTCAGCTGTGCCTGCGTCCAGACACACACTGTGCATTCTGCCACAATCCACCTCTGCAGCCAGCCTTGGAGAAATGCAGGTTCCTCCTTGTTCGCCCTCCAACCCTGTCATACTTGCCCTGTTGGATCTAATAGGACGAACCCTTCCTCATTTGCTGTGAAATGAACTCCTGGTCCCAAGTATAGATTCTCGGTGGGCAGGAGGAGACAGGAAGACAGGAAGGAAGCCAAGCCAACCCAAGGGCCTGCCAGTGGGGCTCCTTGCATTCCTGAGTCAGGCTGGGTGTAGGTGAAGCTGAGAGGCAGGAGCAGGGCAGCGCATTGGAACCTCTCATGTGGTTTCACGCTCCCAGGAGTGGTGGCTGCAGTTTGGCCTGAGGACAGAAAAGAAGTCTCAGACAAAGAGACCTGTTCTGCAGCCAACTCTGGCCTGCCTGAGGGCCTCCTGCCTGGGCTGGACACACCTGAGCCCTTGGGGCCCTCAGTGGGGCTGGCACTCCCTGAGATGGGGTGGAAGTGTCAGAAGCACAGGCAGCTCGGGGACCCACGTGGGCCCTGCAGGGCCAGCGGACCTTGCCCTGGGACAGCAGTACAGCAGTGAGGAAGGGGACACAAGGGGACATTGCCTTGTACTTTGCTCTCCCTGGGCTCTTTCTGGTTTCAGAAGAATCAACAACTCTGAGCCTCGGTTTCCTGATTCATTATCCAAAGGTGATAACATACAGAGCCACCACTTTCTCTTTCTTAGCTCTCCTGTGGAGAACCTCACGTCTGGGGCCTGCTGAGCAGCTATTAGGCCAAATGGCGTCAAGGTTTTAAAATTCCTCTCACAATTCACCCCTCATTTTTCAGTCAGACAGCCAGTCAGCCCTTGAGGCCACTTCCTGGGTCCCTGTGACACTTGCTGCACTGGGTGGGAGTCTGGAGGGGACAGTTTCTGCTGGCTGTGTGTCAGGCTTGGCAGACCCTTGGAAACTGGTGACCTCGCTTTGAAGCTTCCATCTGTCCCTCCACTTGGTGGTGTCTCCTCAGTCTGTTGTGCAGTAAAAGCGTCCGTGTGACTTGTCCCCTCACTGCTGTCCCCCCACTGCACTTCCTCCCTGGAGGTCCCTAGGAGCTTAGCCTGCAGTTTACAGAGGCAAACAGTGGTCAGTCCTTGTTTGCTGAGGGCTCCCTTTGCACCCACACAGGGCTAAATGCTCCGCATGCCTTGGTCCCTGGGCCACCCACAGAATCCCCAGGAGGGACTATTACTCCTTGGCTCTCTGCAGAGCTTTAGAGAGATGAAGTCACTTGCTGATTGTCAGTCAGCCAGGGATGCATCCTGATTCCCCTGCCTGAGGCAATGTTGCCTCTGTGGGACCCTTCCCCTTTCCTCATAAAAAATATTTAAAATTTTAAAAAATATTTAAAATTATGTTTATGATTTTTTTTTTTTTGTACCGGGGATCAAACTCAGGACCTTGCGCTCTCGAGGCAGGCGCCAGAACCACTGAGCTAAATCCTCGGCCCATGTTTATGATTATAACGTATTAAAATGCTTTCTTCAACCTAAAATTCTCCTTTTCCTAAAGATTTTAAAGAAATTAAGATTTCTTTTTGTGGGCCTTTAAAAGTCCTGTGGACTCTGAGTACCGCATCACCTACACCTAACAAGAGACAAGAGACAGGACTGATGGCCGGGGATTTAGCTCAGTGCTTTCACTGCCTGCTGCGCAAGCGCAAGGACCCAAATTTGATCACCGGTACAAAAAAAAGAAAAAAGACACCGGACTGAGATTCAGCCCACTCCCCTGTAGCTCTGATCTCCTCACTGTGCTGTGAGTAAGTGAGAAAGGGAGAAATCCCAGCCAGGCTGGTGCAGAAGGGTCATGAGTTCAAGGCCAGCCTGAGCTATGCAGCAAGACCCTGTCTCATAAAAACAAAAAAAGGCATGGAATGAGGGTGGAAGAAGGGAGGAAAGGAGCAAAGAACTCAGAAGGGAGCCAGTTATCTGAAATCTTTTTTTTTTTTTTTTGTACCTGGGATCTAACTCGGGTCCTTCCGCTTGCGAGGCAGGCAGTGGATCCACTGAACTAAATTCCCAGCTATCTGAAATCTTAACAGCATGTGGTATTGACAATTTGTTCTGAAAAATAGAACTTGGTTTGTTCCTCCTCCTCCTCCTTCATGTCTTGCTGTTTTTTGACAGAAATTTCTCTGAGAGCCAAGCCCATTCGTCCTCTTTCTCTGAAATTCTGGATGCCCCACCCCAAGCTTCTCTCTAGTTATAGACCTTGAGGGTGACCAGTTTGCCCAGAGGATAAAATGGGATTCATTTATCTTCTACAAGTGGCTCCAAGTTCCAACCTTATCTCCAGTAACGATGGCATTTGCCACAATAATAATAACAATAATAATTAACAGTTTTAAGAGCTTTCTGTGTAACAGGCAGTGTGTTGATCACTTGGCAGCATTTCCTCCTGAAAGCTTCCAGATCCCAGGGAAACATGCTGTGTTCATCTCCAGTCTGCAGGTGTTCTGCAGGTGCAGAAACTGGGGCTTAGAAAGACTGAGCTACCCAGGTGCTGGTGCCAGGATTTAGGTGTAAGTCTGTTGTCAGCATCTTCCATGAGGGCAAGGACTGTGTCCAGTTTCCCAGATTCCCTGTCACCCAGCACAATTCTTTGGGACATCAGAATCCCTCAAGGGATTCAATCCAGGAGCCCCACAGATAAGTGTCTGTGGATGCTCATGTCCCTTAAAGAAAACTGTGTAGTATTTGCATAGCTCCTATACATACCCTGCTGCATACTTTAAATCATCTCTAGCTTGCTTGTAATTCCTAAGACAGTGTGAATGCTATGGAAATAGACTGTGTCATTCAGTGAATACTAACAAAAAAGTATGTATTCAGTACAGATTCAGGGTTTTGGGGGTTTTTTTCCAAATATTTTCATTCCCTGGTTGGTTTTATCCACACCTGTGGAGCCTGCAGATACAGACAGCCCACTGTATGAGCTCTCAGTGTGGAGTGAATGAATGTTTGAAAAACCTGAGCCTGAACTTCAGGGCTGTCTGCTGAAGGTCTTGGGCAAGTAGCTGTCCACCTCCTTCATGCAGAAATGGGCAGCTATAGCCCGTGGGAGTCTGGGCTGCTGAAAGCCCTGCTGGAGAAAGGAACTGATAAAAGCAGGAAGGACTCAGGCACTCGCTCCTCCACCTCCCAGCCCCACTGCACCCCACCCTGACTGCACCCCCACCCCCGAGAGTGGAACACTGGAGCTGTCCACCTCCTGCCTAGCATGCATCTCTTGGGGAACTTAAAAGCGAACCCTGACAGTCAAAGTGCGCAAGTGCCAGCCAAAAGTGGGTGCCCATGGGTGCTCTTGTGGCTCCCCACCCCAAATTCATCCCAGTCCCTCTTATATCTTCAGCTGTTCCCCCATGGCACAATACAAGACAGAGAGCCAGTGCCCCCAGGGGAAGCTGAGCTCACCTGTCAAGGTAGACACCTGAGAAGTATAACTACTATAAAAGAAAGACAAAAAGTCAAGCCATGCATGCCACCTGAAGCAGAATTGTTGAAGCAGGTAGACTCAGATTTGTAAGTAAACCACGATAATGGCACTTAAGGAGATAAGGAAGAAATCCAGGAAATCGTGGAAGAACAAAAAGTCCTAGGTTCATCCCTTTTTCAGCCACCACCAGTGCAGGAGGGGCTGAAATGAAGTTGAGTCCTTTGTGACTCCTGATCTGAGCAAGAACAGTAAAAACCATTTCAGTGCACCTTTCCACTGTCACGGGAGGATTGTTTTCCCTTCCTTTTGGAGGGCTGAGATAACAACACCCATTCAGTTCATGCCACCCAAAAGATGGTGAAGATCACAGAGGTCATCAAATTAGCAGAGTGGTCCAGATTTTCAGGAAGAAATATGTCATCTGGGTTGAGCAGGTGCAGTGAGCAAAGGCTGGTGGCTGGGCCTCTTGCATGGGTATTCACCCACCCAGGACAGTTATCACGAGGCCACAGCTAGACAAAGGACCAGGAACAGATTCTTGAACCTGAAGCCAAATCTCACCCACTAGGAAAGGAAAAGGACAAATATAAAGAAAAAACAATTGGAGAGATACAGGAATGAAGTAATCTTATATGCATCTTTCATTAAAAACTGCTAAAATAAGGAGAAAAATAAGTCATAAGTGAAAGCCAAGACAGAACATTACCTAAGAAAATATTTAAAATGAAAGACACACAATATGACATAAAGTACAAGAGTGGAATACTGTTGAAGAATTAACTGATAAAATGATCAGATTGGAAATTGTCCTCAAAAGCATCAGGGAAAGACAAATAGACAACAAATAAAAATGAAAAGCTAAGAGATATAGAGAAGTCCCAAAAGGAAAAAAACAATAAAAAGAGATGAAGAAATAATGGGGATTAAATATTTCAGTATTACAGAAAAGTGAATAAACACAGTTTGAAAGGACTGTTAGAATAACCAACAATGAAATGGGGGGGGGGGGAATCACACACAAATATCAGGGTGAAAATAAAAATGCAAAAGCCAGAGAAAGAGCAGAGAGAAATAAAGCACTGTCACGAAGGCAAGAATCAGATTGGCATATTCTTACTAGCAACACCCGATAGATGAAGTCAAGAAAGTAATATCATTCAGAATTGAAAGAAAAGAACTCTTTCAATCCAGAATCTTAAAGTCAGCCAAAATGTCATTTAAACATGAAGTCATAATAAAAATATTCTTAGGTAAATAAAGCCTCGGAAGGGGAACACACAAAGAACCACATAGAAAATACTCTGGGAGGAAATACTTAAATAATAAAAGAAACAAATCCAGGAGACCCTG